TAAATAAATAAATTCATACACACACACAAAAAAAACGGGGGTGGGGAAGAAGACAACAATTACAATTCCTTGAAGTTGACACGACAAGTGAACAGAAAGGACATTGTTGGGGGGGGGGGGAGGTTTCAGTAATGGGCCACAATAATCAACCACATTTTATATCAACAAAATAAAATTAAAAAGAAAAAAATTAAGATAAATTCCAGCTGGATCAAAGATTAAAATATAAAATTGCAATGGCTAATGTATAGGAAGAAACTAAATGGGAATTCTCTTATAATCTTGTCATACAGAAGGCATTTCAAAGCATGACACAAAATCTACAGGCCATAAAAAATTCAACCACAAATTTGAAACCAGAAATTTTAAACTGAACAGGAAAAATCACCTTAAGCAAAAGCAAAAGACTACGAACTAGAATATAGTCATAATGCATAATCACAAACAAAAGACCAATTTTACTGATGAGTAAAGAGTTCCTACGAATAAAGAAAAAACAAGCAACACAACAAATTTTAAACTGAACAGGAAAAATCACCTTAAGCAAAAGCAAAAGACTACGAACTAGAATACAGTCATAATGCATAATCACAAACAAAAGACCAATTTTACTGATGAGTAAAGAGTTCCTACGAATAAAGAAAAAACAAGCAACACAATTGATCAATGGCAAAGAATATGGAGACGTTCCTGGGAAAGGAAACAAAATGATTCTTAAACACAAGATTTGCAAACTCATTCATAATAAAAGAAATGCAAATTTAAAAAACCAATGATATCAGTCTTCACCCATCAGATTAGCAAAGATTAAGAAGTTTACTGACAGAATGCACTTAGGCGGCTAAGTGATAAGTGGAATTATCATACCAGTATCTACCACAAGTAAACCACACATATGCTTTAACCTAGCAATTCTACTTGTAAGTAGGAATTTTTACTTGCATGTAAGTTCTGCAAAAGGATGAAATCATTGTTAGAAGTTACTTATTATAGCATTGTTTATAATAGAAAAGATTGGGGGGAAAAAATGCCCAGAATGCAAACTGGTTAAATAAATTATGGTACATACATACAGTGAAACAATATACAGCCTTTAAAAAAAAATAAGAAAGCACTTCATATGCAGGTACTTCAAAAAGTTTGTAGAAAAATAGAATTAAGAGACAACACAAATCTTGCCATAAATTTTTTGAAGTACCCTCGTATACTGCTATGAAATCTCCAGAATAAATTAAGTCAAAAAAAGCCAAGTCTGTCTGTTATGCTACATTTGTGAAAAAGAGAAAGGCAAAAATATATACAATCAGCTATTTATATAGATTAATCTCTGATACACCTGAGAAGGTAAGAACTATGTGCCTGGAAGACAGGGGCAGGAGGGAAAAACGTGTAATATATCCTTTTACTTTACTTTTTGGATTTTGAATCATGTGGATTTATGCCTGTTCAAAAAAAATTAAAGAAAAAATCAGTACAATAGTGAAGAAACATACCAATACAACATTCAAGATAGACTGTATTAAATGAGAATAATCGGAAAATGTCTCTTTATTAAGCCAAGATAGTTGTGTGAAGAAACTTCAATTGACTGATCTGATTTCCTTCAATTGTAGTAAAACATGAACTCTGAAGCCAGAACGCAGAGGTTCTATTCCCAGCGTTTCTGTCTTGGTGTCTTTAGCTATAATACGAAGATGACAATAGAACTTACCTCATAGGAGAGGTAAAAGCATTTAGAACATATAATAAGGAAGAACTCAATAAATTTAAGTTGTCAATATTACCTGTGCTGCGGCCCAAATGCAGTCAATATGCTGAGTACTGAGTCGCCCTTCTGCAGCCAAAAAATTCAAAATCACTTGGCACTGTTTGATAATCTGGAAAAGAAAAACTTACTATAGTTAATTTTTTAAAATACTCTTCTCTCTTAATAGAACAGAGAAGCCATGTAACTATCCACAAACCTCAATATGTAAATTTGGTCCAAATATATGTTCCACCACATTATTGCTAATAAGCCAGTCTGCAAGTTCTTTTGCAATGGACCTAAAGTGAAATAATAAAAATAGTACATTTAAAAAAATTTTTTTTATCACCCTTTCTTAAGACTAAACAGCAGACACAGGGCTGGCTGGTTAGCTCAACTGATTAGAGCATGGTGCTGATAACACCACAGTCAAGGGTTCTGATCCCCATACCAGCCAGCCACTGAAACAACAAAAAAAAGAAAAATAAAGAAAAAAGCAGACACAGAAGTTGAAAACCTAAATCTGTTCCATACAAATTAAAAAGAAGTGATTATACACAATTAGTTGTTCAGGGTACTACAAATTGTAACTAAAATAAAATATAACAAATGCTAATATCCTCTGGATTTATAAACACGCAACAAACTGAAAATTTAGGATAACAACTAAAACCAGGTACACAAGTGAGAATACCAACTAACACTTAATTGGTGATATACAGTCCTACTCAAAGACAGTCTTCCCACTTTATTTCCATAGTAGGCACTGAAGCATTCAGAGGTTTCCCAATATGCCCTCTATGATGATATAACATCAAGCAAGTAGATTACCAAAATGGTAAACAAAAGAATTAACTCCAAGCCAAATGGCAAATCTCCTGCCTGATACAATGAAGATTCCACTGATGAATGACAAGGGAAGTGATAGCATAAAGTGAGTAGAAGAAAATAGGTTTTAAAATAGGATATACAGAAAAAGATCCCCAATTTTTTCATCTATATGAATTACATACAGAAAAACTAGACAGACTGAATAATTTCTATTATTGTTTATCCAAAGAAGTAGGAATTTTTATTATAATTTATTATATCCATGTTACATATTATATAACATGACATATTTTATAGTAAGAACTTATTCTAAAGGTTTAAAAAAACACTAAAAATTAGATATATGGTCCTCAAAAAGTACAACATTAAAATAAAACTATTTATGATATATTTTACTTATGTCTGGGTAGCCCTACTGAAGCTACAATCAATAAGGGGAGTATGGCAGAAAAAATATTTGAAGAAATAATGGCCAAAACTTCCCAAATTTCATGAAAAACATTCATCTACACATCCAAGAAGTGCAACAAATTCCAATAGGATAAACACAGATCCATATCTAGACACATCATAGTCAAATGGTTGAAAGCTAAAGACAAAAATCTTGAAAGCAGTGAGAGAAAAACAACTAAGCATGTACAAAAGAAACACTATAAGGTTAACAGCTGACTTCTTATCAGAAACAGAGTAATGAAGCTATATTGCAGCAAAGATTTTGTATTTTATTAGAATGAAGTTAGTAATAATCTGAAGAAGTTAAATGTATATTGCAACCCATAGGGCAATCACTAAAAAAAAATTTTTTAAGAAAATAAATATAATTAAAATGGTATACCAAGATATACTTATAAACTGCAAATAAGGCAGTAAAGAGGACTAGAGAAATAAAAAAAAGACATGAGATACAGAGAAAACCGATAGCAAAATGGCAGATATAATACCAGCTTCATAAATGACGTTAATAGTGAATGGATTAAAAACTCCAATTAATGGGCCGGCCCGTGGCTCACTCAGGAGAGTGCGGTGCTGATAGCACCAAGGCCACGGGTTCGGATCCCATATAGGGATGACCGGTTCACTCACTGGCTGAGCGTGGTGCTGACAACACCAAGTCAAGGGTTAAGATCCCCTTACCAGTCATCTTTTAAAAAAAAAAAAAACTCCAATTAAGGCATAGAGTACAGGACTAAGTTGTTTTTTTAAAAAAGATCCAACTATATGCTGCCTCCAAGAGACATACTTTAGATTCAAAACGACAAACAGACTGAAAATAAAAGGATGAAATAAGATATACCATACAAACAGCAAGCATAAGAAAGCTGCAGTGCGTACACTAATATCAAATAAAATAGACATTAAGCCAAAAAATGTCAGAGACAGAGACATTTTATAATGATAAAAAGATCAAATTACTGGTAACATATAACTATAAACATATGTGGACCTAACAAAAGGGCCCCAAAATATACAGAGCAAAAACTGACATAATTGAAGGGAGAAATTACTTTATTGTAACAGGCTGAAGCAAAACAGTATACTTTCTGAAAACTATCAGTACAATAGTTTTCATATTCAATTCTGTGTAAATAGTATCCTTTGCATTTTGTGACAAATAATACTATATATTGGTACATGCTTTTTAAAAAGAGAAATGTCTCAACAATTGTTCTGAAAGCTTATTAAAGACTGGTATTCAATTCTGTGTAAATAGTATCCTTTGCATTTTGTGACAAATAATACTATATATTGGTATATGCTTTTTAAAAAGAGAAATGTCTCAACAATTGTTCTGAAAGCTTATTAAAGACTGTACAATTTGAAGCCAAAGGCTAAGACTTTAAATACGTCAAACCCAATAAAGTCACAATTATATTTATTATATAAACAGCAACACATTAGAATGTTATACTTATATATAAATTAATGCTCCAACTTACGTTTCTGTGTCTGATACCAACGACTCATTATTGCACACATCATTGAAGGTATGAAGTTGATTCTATGATTAGAGAAAAGAAATTAAAGATTTTTCCAAAATTATTCTTCTATATGTTAGCAAGTGTCAAGAAACACAGTAAATTGACTGATATATGTAAATCATAATCAATAACCAGATTAAAATTATAGAATATAAGACAAATAATCAGAGACACACACTTCCCAATTAGTATGACTACCTTCTTTATCATTTAAAAATACTAAATACATTCATTCCACAAGTAATATTTATGCTTTATGATACTAAGCACACTAGAGAAAACAAAGCTGATTAAGGAAAAAACACAAAAATGTAATTCAAGGCATCAAGTAATATATTATCACAGACAAAGTTTCCAGAAAAGCTCCTTAGATAAACTTATTCAGGATTTAATTTTTCTGGGAAAATATAGAAAACAAGTATTTCCTATACTTACAATGTCCAATATGTGGGTAAAATCTAGCTACTTGAGATTTTCAGTGTAACTACACTACAAAAACAGACAGGAAATGCAAAGGAGTAAAACTAATGGGGACTGTAGCAAACCAAAGAAAGCATATCCACCTAAAGGATGCAGCTAACTACTTAGGTCTAGCAAATTACTGTTATGCAAGAACACAGACCCAAGGATAACAGGCCTTCCTCCCCACAGCCCCACCATGGTAAGCCAAGAATATAGATTTTTATGTGATTTCTCCCTCTTTAAAACAGTATATAATACTATATAAAACAAACAACACATTACTGTTAGTGAAATTTGTCCTATGGCCCAATAACCTGTGGCTTCTGCCTGGAAAATTAAGTAACTGCTTATAATCCCCTTGACACTGAAATCGAACAGATCTAAGCCTCAAATAAAGTAAAAGAAAAACAGAAATTATTTGTGAAGACCACACAAAGTAATCCATGTAAAATGCTTAGCACAATGCCTAGTATAAAGTGCTCCATAAAAAAGTGAGTATCATTATTATTATGATGAACTATAAGGCAAATAAAAAATGACCAAAAATAAAGCAAATACGCTTACTGTTATTTGACTCAATCCAGCCAACCTCATAGTCAAAGTAGGTGACATAAAGTACTTAAATGCAAGGTCTAGGCTTTCTTTATCAAAGCATAATGTTGTATCCAATGGTTCTTTCACTGTGCTCCACATTAAGTCAGCCATGTTACGAGCCGCACTCTGTCGTAACTCCTGATCAGAGAGCTTGCATAAATACCTGAAATGATTCAGAAACAGAAAATACACAAAAAATCACAAAACATTTCTAAAGACCACACAATAATTTCACAATATGCCTTTGCTCCATATCTCCATAATGTTTTAATACGGTAGAATCTGGCATTCTCAGATTTAACATTCCCAATTTAAACTATTTCTAAGTAATACTTAAAGGACTGACCTGTGGCAGTGTGTCCTTTTGCTAACCAACTTGAATCAGCAACTGCAAAGAGCCAACTCATTTGACACAGGATTCTGCACCTCCAGTACAGATTTATTATTCTCTAATAACTGTCATGTACACAGCTGTCATAGTAAATTTCGGCTGACTTCATATATACAGAACATCTTCTCCCCCAAAATAGCCAAAATTCTTTAACATGTGTACATTTTAAACATTTTCCTTTTATTGCTTCCAAAAACCACAAACTTCTGGTTTCCATCTCAGGCCCTACCTAATCTCTTTAGCTGGTTCCTTTTCCACTATCCAACCTTTCAGTGTTAATGCTCCTGTAATAGATTACAAAATAGCCACAAATTTCTCCCATCACTATATGTAGAAGTCTTTTCTATTCCTCCTATCAAGAGGTGTCATCTATTTCTCTGCCCCCTTGATTCTAGGCTTTGCCATGTAACTTGCTTTGACCAATGGGATATTAACAGACATGACATAAGCAGAATCTTGAAAAGCCTTTGAGCTTGCCCTCTCTTGCTGGGAACTCTTCTACAACCAGAAGAAGGGACCCAGGTTAGCCTGCTGGATGAAAGAGAAATGTCTGATGCCCCAACTGACATCCAACCAACTGCAAGATGTGTATGACAGTCCTTCATTCCCCAAGACCAATCAGCCTGTCAATCACAGAATGTCAGAATGAGGCTATCCTAGACCATCCAGTTTCAGCCAAGTCAGACCAGATCAGTAGAACTGCATAGCCAACCAGAGAACTGTGAGAAAGAATAAATGGCTGTTGTATGAAGCCACGAAGTTTTGGGGTTGTTTTCTTACACAGCAAAAGCAACTGATACAACAGGGCTCTATCCTAGACTCACCTCTATTCTCTTACTATAATATTCCCTCCCCAAGTGCCCTCATTCACTCTGGTAGTTTTTAAGCACTGTCTTTACACTGACAACTCTTAAATTAATGAAACTGTTTTAAACTACAGTTTCATATTTCCAATTTGCCAGCACCACTTACATATCCCACAGGTATCTCAAAGTCTTGTCTTTTAAGTTCTCCCAGTCTTTCATATCTCACTTATGACATCCACAGTACAAAAGAGAAATCTATGGGGGAGAGGGGACCTAAATACCATCCACAATGACACTTTTCCTTAAACCCCATCAGTCTTGTTTTTATTTTCACTTATATCCATCTGCAGTGGACTGAATGGCCCCCCAAAATCACTGAAGCTTAATCCTCACTGTAACTGTTGAGGGTGGGAAATCCTATTACAATTGAAAGGTAGGGCCTTGAAGAGGGGATTAGTTTCTGAGGACCATGCCCCAGTGAATGGACTAATAATGGTAGTTATGGGTGTGTACTGAGGACTTTAAAATGAGAGCACATGTGAGTCTCTCTCTGCTCTGCCATTCTGCCATGTGAGATATCCCTGCATTACTATCACTAGCAAGACCTTTACTGGATGTGTTCCCTAGACTCTGGAACTCCCAGCCTCTGAAACCGTAAGCAATAAATGTCATTTTCTTACAAATCATTAAGTTCCAGGAATTTCTTTTGTAAGCAAATGGGCTAATATACCATCCAATTTTCAAAATCACCATTAATAATCCTACTACAAGTAACCATTCATTTCTTCCCAGGACTACCAAATTAACCTTTTAACTAGTCTCCTTGCTTCTACTCCAGTCCCAATATAATTTATGATCCACTTCAAAGACCAAATTGATCTAAAAATGATCATGACTTATTTGCTGAAAACCCTTTAACAGATCCAAATCCTTAGTAGCCTGCAAGATCCTGAATAATCTGCCCGTGCTTATCATTCTAATTTCAAATCATAATTATACCAGTCAGCTTCTAGTTCATTATATGTCATATTCTTTACAACTTCAGCGCCTATACCCATATGCTCCTTCTATCTGGAATACATCCTTCTGATCATGTCTGGATTAGCTGATTCATGTCCCACAGATGTGACCTTTCAGAAGGGCCTCATATTCCCTTTGTATCATATTACCTTACTTGCACAGCATTCATCACTACCTGATTTTTTTCTGATACTTTCTCCCACAACTCGTATAGTACTGGGAAAATAACACTCAAATATTAACACATGAATGAATAACAGTAGAAAGAACTCATAAATTTTATCAAGAAATACAATTCTAAGCATCCTGACAGTTCATACTCTAAGTCTAATCAATACAACTCCGTTTCCTTCTTCTTACGTTTCCTTCTTAGGTTGAGACTTATAAAACTCAAATGTCACCTCCTCCTCAATGAGACCTTCTCCATCCCCATATTTAAAATTGTAACCCACCCTCTAGAACTCTTAATCCACCTTTGCTGTTATTTATCCTGTAATACTTATCACTTTCTGATGTACTATATCATCTACTTATTTATTTTGTAAATAGAATGCATAAAAGAGCAGAGATCTTTTAATCTATTTTCTTCTGTGCTATATCCCCAGAGCCCAGAACATAATACTTTGTATCTGATGACTAAATAAATACAGTAATCATTATTTATCACTTTAGTTCTTTTTATATACTCATGTAAAAAAAAATCCAACATAAGTTGCTAAAAACTAAACATTAAATATAAACCCATAAGTGCATAAAAAATAATATACACAAAACTGTTAATTAAAATTTTCTCTAGAGGATGTGACTACAAGCAATTTTCAAACAATGTAATTCTGTGTTATAAACTGTTTAAATGTATTACACATTGATAATCAGGGGGAAAAGATTTTTATAAACTTACCTGATAACATAGGTCCTAAAAGGTATAATGTGCTGCATGACAGCAGGGATATGCAGCCATATTCTAATCTAGAGAAACATAAAAATGATATTAATACATAACGAATATGTGAAATACATGTCTTTCACTAATTAAAAACAAGAGCATTTAGTATTTTGTGGCCTCTAAAATTACATAAGTTTTACTACTGATTTTGAAAAGGGTAACTTCAAAATACAATCACACGTACAGCAGGTAATTTATCCTACGTGTAAAATCAATCTGAACAATTAATACTAGCTTCTTGCTGAAAAGGGAAAACTATCTATCCAAGTAGTATCTCTTTACTACATGCTTCCCTATACCTCTTTGCATGGCAGCAACCCCAATACAAAGCTCTTAGTTTTTTCATAAACAATCATAATTTTAAATAAACCATCTCATCCTTCCATCTAAAAAATATCAAATCACCTACAATTTCTAGTCATTTCAAGATCCATCTAAGGCAAATATGTGTTATAGTCACACTGATTATAATATAAGCAACTATTTACTGAAATAAGCTCTCATTGTAAAAATCCCTCATCTGAGTTATAATACAAGCTATAATAAACCTGTTTCCTTACTTTTTCTAAATGATAATCCAGCCCATTTTAAAATCTGTTATGATTACATTATAACAGTTTTATTCTCATAGTGGTTTAAATATCATAAGAATAAAAATCCTAACCAAACAACAAACTCTGATACTAACCCTTGACATAGGCAAGGATACAAATTAAAAACAAATTTGAAAATATAGAATGTATCGCTTCATTCTTGTTGAATAAAAGGTATCTATAAAAATACTATAGCATATACTATACTAATGGTGAAATGTTAAAAGCCTTCCTTCTGAGACTAGGAACAAGACAAAGAACCTTCTCAAATCCACTTAAACTGAAGGTCTTAAACAGTGCAATAAGGCAAGAAACTAAATAAAAGACATAGGACTAGAAAGGAGGAATTAAAACTGGTATTACTCTGAGATGATTATGTAAATAGAAAATCCAAAATAATTTTCAGATAAACTTCTTTGGAATTAATGAATTAGCAAGACTGATGCTTTGAAAGTTAATACAAATGAGTAAATATACACATATATATGTATACATGCACACTGTTTTTTTCTCATATACGAGAAATAAATAGGAAAACTTTTCAAGAAGATTCTCTTTACAACAGCATCAAAAAATATCATGTGCCAAATAATCTAACAAAGATATACCTCTACACAAAAACACAGAAAATTATAATGAAATTAAAGAACATGTAAATAAGGAGACATTTACCATATTTATAAAAGACTCAATATTGTAAAGATGACAGTTCTCCGCACATTGATCTACAGATTCAATGCAATCCAAAAAGGTTTATATGCAGAACTTCAGTTGATTCCAAGACCAAAGGTACAAGAGCCAAAACCGTTAGGAAAACCAGCAAAGAGGTACCACTTGCTTTACCAGATAGCAATACTTCTTATAAAGCTCCAGAAGTTAAGATAGTATGCAAACAGCACAAGATGAAGTAAGTAGACTAATGGACTATGTTAGAGAGCTCAGACCCATGCACACAAAGATCTGATTTATGACAAAAGTAGTACTGCTCAACAAAGAGGAAAGGCCTGTCTTTGCAATAATAGTGTTAGGACCAGTGGACATGTATATGAAAAAGAAAATGAATCTTGATCCCTCCCCCACACTATGCAAAAAAATTAACTGCATTTGAAATGTAAACCAAAATTGAAAGTTAAAACAACAAAACTTGTAGACTATAGGAAAATATCCCTTAAGGTAAAGAATGACTTTTTCTATTAGAAATGAAAACCTTAACCATAAAGGAAAACACTGACAAATTATACAACATAAAATCTGATGAATAATACAAGGGTACTTCAAAAATTTCATGGAAAGATTCGTATTATCTTTCAATTTTATTTTTCCACAAATTTTTGAAGTGCCCTCGTATTTCTTAAACACAAGAGAATGAAAAGCAATCCTCAAAGTGGAAAAAGATATTACTAATACATAAATCAGACAAAAGACTTGTACCCAAAAATTAAAAGAAATCTCCAAGCATCATTAAAAAAGCAGACGATTTTTAAAATGGGCAAAAGATCTTAACAGATACTTCACAAAAAGTATCCAAATGGCTTATATGCCTATGAAACAGTGCTCAATCTCATTAGTCATTAAAAATAATACATAATAAAAACACAATGAGGGCCAGCCCCATGGCTCACTCGGGAGAGTGTGGCATGGACCAAGATAAGTTCCCTCGCTATTGTCCCGTCTACTCAACATTGTAGTGGCAGTCTTAGCCATCGCAGTATAACAAGAGAAAGAAATTAAAAGTCTGGAGATTGGAAAAGAAGCAAAAACTGTATTCATAGGTGACTATGTTGAAAGGAACAATCTATAAACAAATTATTAGAACTAAAGAATGAGAAAAGGTAGATACAACCAACATGAAAATCAGTTGTATTTCTATATACCCAGAGCTAGAAAACATAATTTTTTAAAAGACACAATTAAAATAGCAATAATAAAAATAAGGTTCCAAGGAATAAGAAGTTGTATAAAACTTTTATGGGGAAAAATTAACCTTTATTAAAATCATTAAAGAATACTATAGTGACACATATCTCTATTTACTTATTGATAAACAATGTTATAAAAATTCTTCCCAAATTGATATAGTTCAAATTCTCACTTAAAATTCCAACAAATTTTGGTTTTGAGAGGGTGATTCTAAAATTTTTTAAAAAACATGAAAGGTCATTAATAGCCAAGACAATCCTGGAGAAAAACAAAGTAAATGGACTTGCCTTAGCAGATATTAATTCATATAGTTTAAAAACACCTTCATAAAACGCATGGCATTGGTGTAAGGATAGACAACTGCCCATTGGAACAGAATGGAAAGTTCAGAAATGGATCCCATTCAGAAGCAGAACCTTGAAAAAAAGGGCATTGATCATGAATAGAGAAAAGGAAAGATTAGTCATTAAATCGTTGAGACAACTCGGTATCAACTAAAAAAAATTCCTAACCCATATCATACACAAATCCTAGATATATAAAAGGTCTTATATGTAAATGAAGAGACTTCAAAACTTTTAGAAGAAAACATAGGAAGATGTCTTCATGGTCTTGGGATAGGGAAGAATTTGACACTAACACTCTTTGTAAGACAAAGATTCATAAATTCAACTATATTAACCATAATTACTGTCTAAGACACCACAAAGGTACAAACCAGAAGAGATTCTTTGTAACACATAATTGATTGTATTCAGAATACATAAAGAACTACACATTAAGAAAAATATAAACCACCAAGTAGAAAAATGGGTAAGAGACTTAACAGACATCTAAGAAACCAAATGGGAAACACATAAGACACTCAACCTCATTAGTGACTGAGAATCCAGATAAGGACTACAGCACCATCTCACACCCACTAAATAAGCTGGCAGACATTTAAAAGCCCAATAATATCCAATACTGGTAAGGATGTAGAGCAATGAATGGTAATGTTTCTACTCTATGGATAGGAGTGTAAATTGCTGCAGCCACTTTGGAAAACAACTTGATACCTTGTAAAGTTGAAGTGTGCATACCTCATTTAACCCAGATCCTACTCCTGAGTCATCTTGCATGTGAGTACCTGACCCTCCCCACCCCTTGCCTTTGCCCCCAGCCCCAGATAATCACTAATTTACTTTCTATCTCTATGGATTTGCCTATTCTGGACACTTGATAGAAATGGAATCATCATGTCGCCTTGTGTCTACCTTCTTAATGTTCTCAAGGTTTACCCATGCACAGCATATCAATACTTCATTCCTTTTAGTTGCCGACTGACATTCTATTGGAAGGATATACCATGTTGTATTTACTCATTTGATAGTTGAAGGACATCTGGTTTGTTTCTACTTCTTAGTTATTGTGAATAGTGCTACTATGAACACCTGTGTACAAGAATGTGTCAATACAAGGTGTTCACCTAGGAGTAGAACTGCTAGGTCATATGGTAACTCCATATTTAACTGCTAAACTATTTTCCGAAGTGGCTGTACCACTTTTTCACTCCCACTAGCAGTATGTGAAGGTTCCAACTTCTCCACATCCTTGCCAGCGCTTATTTTGATTACAACCATCCTAGTGGGTGTTAAGTGGTGTCTCATAGTGGTTTTGGTTTGCATTTCCCTAATGTCTAATGATGTTGAACATCTTTTTAGATGCCTATTGGTCATCTGTACGTCTTATGTGGAGAAATGTCTATTCAAATCCTCTGCATATTTTTCAATTGGGTTGTCTCTCTTGCTGAGTTGTAAGATTCCCTTATCCTCTGGATACATGTCCCTTATCAGATACATCATTTGGAAATATTTTCTCACATGCTATGGTCTTTACATTTTCTGCATGGTATCCTTTGAACACCAACATTTTTAAACTTGGAAATCCAACTTACCTACTTTTTCTTATTGTGCTTTTTTTTGTGTCATGTCTAAGAAGACTTTGCCTAACCCAGGGTCACAAAGATTTATCCTATGTCTTCTACAAGTTTTATAATTTTAGGTGTAACATTTAGGGGTGTGATCCATTTGGAATCAACTCTTATGTATGGTATAAGGAAGGGGTCCAACATTCTTGCATGTAGCTGTCCAGTTGTTCCAGTACCATTTGTTAAAGACTATTCTTTCTCCAACATATCTTCTTACTGTATTAAATATTATATACCTTTTTAAAACTTATTTTTTTGGGGGGCCAGCCCGGTGGCGCACTGGATAGTGCTCCGCTTGGGAAGCGCGGCGGCGCTCACGCCCGAGGGTTCGGATCCCACATACAGACCGGTTCCCGCTCACTGACTGAGCGAGGCGCGGGAGCAACACCGAGGGTTGCGATCCCGTTGCCGGTCCCCGGTCCGGTACGGGGGCAACACTGAGGGTTGCGATCCGTGGCCGGACACGGAAAAAGACAAAAGACAAAAAAAAAAAAAAAAAACCTGAAGAGAAAGATGAAACAGAATCTAAGCCTAAACCTTTTTCTTTCGTAAAGGATAACTTTTAAAGATACAGTAAAATAAAGCCTTTAATAAACTTTCTAGAATACAAGACTTTTAACCAAGAATTAGTAAAATAAATTCAAGAAATACAGTTTAATCCAGGTTTACTTAATATTCTTGATTAAGGAAACCGTTTGATAAATTTTGTGAATTTTGGATTTCAAAGTTATATGCCTTCTCCAAAATTACCGTAATATAAAATTAAAATGTCAACATAGCGTTTTAGTTCACTCAAAAGTTTAGATTTTATTTTTCTTCCCAGAGGAAGCCAAACTTAACAGAACTTCCTACCAAATAAATTCAGTCAGAATAAAAGACTCAGTTATGTATTTAATAATAGCTAAAATGAATAATAATTATCGAGTGTTACTATAGTGCTTACTATATGTCAAGTGCTTAAAAATCTATCTTCTCATTTTAAACCTTACAACAATCCTCTAAGGTAGATACCATCCATCATTCCCATTTTACAGATAAAGAAAATAAGGAACAGATTCAGGATTCAAAAACAACTGTGAATTCAAAGTCTACATTATTCCCCTATATGCCACTGTATGTAATATTTTCAACCTATCAGAAATCATAGAATTTTGGAACTAAAAATGACCTTGATACAAATCATTTGTTTCAAATATGAAAACATGCAGGTCCAGATAATGCAATAAATGTAAAGAGTGATGCCAATGCTCTTTCCAGTGCAAAGAGATTATCATTAGAAACAATGCAACAAAATATTTAAGTTTTTCTTCACCCAATGTTTTTGCTTTATATATACTTTGAATATTTCATATTAGTTTGTATTTACAGTAATTCAGTTACACAAGAATTCAGGTTATATATATATATATATATATATATATATATATTTTTTTTTTTTTTT